GTGCCTTTTAAGATTTTATGCTGTGTAATTATTTCTGAATAAACCCTTAAAGGGTTAAAATTAAACCTGAAAGGATAAAACTAAACCAAGCAGCTAAAACTGTTCACATCAAAGCCAATACAAACAAGCCTCCACTGGAGACTGAAGGAAGTAGTTTTGTAACTCAGATTTTGGGGGGAAAGGAGCACAAAGTCAAAACAGAACTATTGAGAAGTGCTGAAAATGAAAGTAACTTCTATCAAAGAGCATCTTTATATAAAGTCAGTAACACTTGCCGCAAAAGAATTGAAACTTTGTATAAAGGCACTATTGTACATGGAAAACTTGTTAAATAATTAGGAAGGGAGGAAGGAAGATGTTAAGGCAGAATCATACTGGGGGTTTGTAAGTCACAGCTCACATTTCAATGCTGTTCTTTATAATGTACAGTGCTTCTTTGGGGACTTTCTTAAACAGAATTTTTTCATATTTTAGATGCCTCAGTTTCTACCTTTTGCCAGGGAGCTTCACGTGCATCTCCCAGACTCCCAGACAAGTCTGGCAGCTGAAGCTCTACCCTAGATTCCTGATGTCTGGATGCTGAAGTGTTTGTTTTGTAGTTGGGAAGCATCTGTAGATATAACACTTCCACATCCATCCATCCATCCATCCATCCATCCATCCATCCATCCATCCATCCATCCATCCATCCATCCATCCATCCATCCATCCCCGCTGCAGTTCCTGATCATCCTCCAGCTTCTCTTCAGATCCAGATCAAGTTTATTTCAACTTGCAGAGTTAAATTAATCTAGTGTTTAATTTTTCATTCTTTCCATCTTTAATAGACACACTGACAGTCCTGGCAGTGCTGAAACACGATCTTCTGAGCAGCTTCCTCTTATTTCTCCCAAGCCTTCCCTGCCAGTTGTGCTGTACCTCCAGCTCCTGTGGATGTTGACACCTGCAATCCAGTAACTGTTTCTGAAACCTCTTTTCCCCTGACTGTTTTCCACAACTGCCTCTTTCACACGAGGAACTGAAAAGCTTTGACAGCTGCTGAATATTGAATTGCAGGAGATCCTTCTGCCTGGTTTGCAGAATCTCACACTCTCAACAGTTCAGATATTGCTTGAGACAAAGTGTTCTCACTTTGAACAGCAACTCAAGTGGAGTTATTTTAAGCCAATGTATACTCTGTTAATTAGAAGATGTCCCCCTGAGCAGGAGGAATTTGTATTTTGAAAAAATCAAATCAGATTGATCAGGCTCAGCTTCAGACTCTCTCCAGCATCAGATTTTTATCTCCTGACTGACTAAGCCAACTTCTTCCACTAGAGGTTCACTTTGCTCCCAGCTCAACTAATTATTTTTCCAACATGATCATGTTGCACATATGCAATCTCAGTTGAATTTCCATCACCTGTTGAATCACTCCCTGTGTCCTTCCTTCCTTCTGCTTCTAATTTTCTATTCTCAGCATTCCCTTCTCCTTTAAGAGAGAATGGTCAAGTATCATCATAAGGGTTTCATTCTTAGCTTGGCTGGCAGCACCTTTAGCCCACTAAAAATCTGCTTTACAATCAGGCTGGACACAGTTCAGCATTCAAGGCATTAATTACAAACACCAACTCATTAGTGCACATCCAGCCCTCACTCTGCCTCCAGGATCTCCTGTACATTAGTCGATGCAAACTTAAAATAGATAAACAAATAAATACTTTAGTACTCTATCATTCAACCAGAAGGAATGTAAGAAGAGATAGGTAGAATTTTCTCCTCAGACTGCCCATTAAATTTTGTCTTTTACAGAATTTTATTATGCTTTGAATATTGGGATTTCTTGTATGATTTGAACTAATTTATCAGTACTTTTTTTTGGTTTTTTTTTGAAGTCTCATCTTTGTATAAGAACCTTGCAATAGGAGAGAGTTAATCTCTGTTTCTAAACTTGTTTTGGTATGGAAAAAAATTAATTCTGTATATTGAAGCTGAATTTTAGAATTTTTTTATCCTTTTATTCCAGTATCTGCATGAACATACTGATCAGGCCACAGCTATTCAGGACTTGTTAGGATAAACCTGAAATTTAATGCCCACTTTTGGCCCCCAGTTCCAGGGAGTCATGAGGGGAGTCATCAAAACTACAGTGAGGAAAAAGGAGGTCACATGCTTGTATTGTACCAGCTCTTGCCATAAGTCAAATGATCAGTGATACCACTTGTTCTAAACGTGCAAGAACTGACTGATTTTGGTGTTACACTTAAACATGTGCAGTGGTGTCAGTGTTTCCCAGAGATATTGGTTTTGATGTCATGATAAACATATAGGATATAGGATATGTGAGGATATAGGCACCAGAAATTCAATAATCAATTCAAAACCAGAGAGCTGGAGAACAAGAGGATCCCAAGGCCAGTGGGAGGCCACACATCTCCCCTTCTGGCAAAGTGACATCACTCACCTTTCGTGGGTGCCCCTTTGGAAGAGACCAGGAATCTCAGGAGAACACCCACAGCTGAGAGCTTCTCTGGCAAAGCCCAGGCTCCAAGGAACTGCACATGGGAAAGAAATGGCAACAGCCATGTGTGACTGACAAAGCAACAAACCTCTTGCAAATTATTTCCAGCAACTAGTTTATTTGTTTTAACTATATTCTATTCTGTGTTGAAAACTAAAGGGGTGCCACTTAATTTATAAATGTGTCATCTGTGAAATTGGTTAAGAGGAGGCACTTTTGTGGTAACTGTCAGTGCTGATGTCTGCCTCACATCTCACAAGAGTCCAGGCTTCTAAAAAAAAGGTGCTTCAGATGTGGACTCCTGGCCTGTGAAATTCCCAAAGAACATCTGGAGACCAGCCTGGTTCAACTCCCATTGCTCTAGAAAGCAGTGTGAGCAGCAACAAGCAGCTGGAGAACTGGAGAGGATGCTGCTCTGGAAGCTTAGAAGAGCAGGTGAACTATTATGCAAACTGTTGTGTGCCTTCCAGAAAGAAACAGACCACCAGCATCCCCCCCAAATAAACCCAACAGAAACCCCACACCATGGGAACCTTGCTGCAGCCCTAGGCTAGAAGAGAGATAAATTCCTTTCCTCACATGGAGAAATAATGATAATAAATCTGAATGAAAGGGAGCACACCAGACCTTGTCTTACTAATGGAGAGAATGATGCTGTAGCTGGAGGGGATTACAGCCTCACCCCAGAGAGAAAAGGCTCCTGTTCTTTGCTTCTGGTTCAGGACCAGGCTCTCAGCAGCAGTCACTGGCTCAGAGTCAGTTGTTGGCTGTAATTACAGCTTCCCTGCCCCTTGCCAGCTGTTTCCCTTTGCAGTTTGAGGCAGTGTTTAAGGCAGGCCATGGTCCTGCCGGTGACTCCCTGCAGCTCCACCCTTGTGCTCCAGACACCTTGCACCTGCTGCAGGTCTCACATTGTCCATCTGCAGGCTAGGGACAAAGCCTTTTTTTCTTATGTGCTACATTTTAGGAACAATTGATGAATATCTGTAAATAAAGCTATAAAGTAGAGCTGCTTACAGCATTATTTTCCTCATCCCACAATTCTCCGAGCATAGAATTGGACACAGCTTTTGCTCCATGAAGGACTCTCACAAATGATTCTCCTCCAGCACTGAAAACAGAGGAGCTCTGCAGGACACCACTGACCTGGCAAACCCTCAGGTGCTACCACAGCAAGAAATGCCAGGAGGCAGAAAGGAACCCGGGGTTCCTGCCTACCCTGATGCTGTGTGTCTTTCTGGCACTCTGTGCCTAAAACTTGTTAATTCACCAGCGGCATTTTGGGATTTCCTACATTTCCTAAATCATAACGAAAGACATCCGCTGATGGCAAACTCTCTGGGCTCAGAGGATTACGTGGGGCAGGGCTGCCTGAGACAGCCCAAATCCACTTGAGACTGAAAAGGTGTGAGCAGTAAATAAAAGGAAATCCTGGATCACCATGTAGTGTTCAGCTCCCACACTCTGACCTCCTTTGGTCCCTTCTATATTTTGTTAAGATCATATTTCTTTACGTGCTGCCTGGCTTAAAAGCCATCATAAATCTGTGCCGTGCAGCAAGAATAACAGGGAAGGCACCGTGTAATCCAAGGCGCCCTAATTCCATCCCAGGCACTCAGAGGGAGCTGTAAATCAGTTTGGAGAGGCCTCAGATGGGAGAACTGGGGGGAAGGCTGGGAAGGCAGCCACAGCCTGGCCCTGCCACTGGAGCCCACGTCCCCTCGGGCTGAGGTGAGCACAACTGCCTCAAAAACAAAGGGTTCTGATGGCTCCAGACTTGAACAGTGATCAAACTCCTTCAAACACTCTTTGGGGAGAAGTGCACCTTCCTTGCTTTGGTGGGAATGCCCTGTGGGATGTGCCACACACTGCAGGTGGGAGCAGGGCCCGGCTGCTGCTCACGTTGTGCGTGTCCAGGTTTGCTTCCACCTGGGGACACCAAACACCACAGCTGGCTGCGCTCCCCTGTGGCCAAGCCACTCTGTCCCAGCTGCAGACACGGCTCTGGGTCAGGGAGAGCTCCACCAGCATCGTGGTGTGCCAGAGAGATGGATGGTTTAGGGTGTGTGCCCACACCTGCCACTGTCGTATTTTCTCAAAAATCTCTTTACCCAGGATTCTTCTCCTAGGAAGATGAGAAGCCTCAGAGAAAAACGAAAACAATAATGATCTGATTTGCTTCTCCTGTGTTTTGCTGCTCTGGAATGTGTTTGGACATTGTTTACCAACAGGTGCATGTTTCATTGCTTTCATGTGAATTGTTTTAACTTAATGACCACTCACAGTCAGGCTGTGTTGGGCTCTGGAGGAGAGAGTCACGAGTTCTTCATTATTATCTTTTAGCCTTCTGTCTGTATCCTTTCTCTATTCTTAAGTATAGAGAAAAAATTATTATAACTCTTTAGCATAGTTTAACATTCTTTTATACAATATAGATAATAAAATAATAAATTACCCTTCTAAGAACATAGAGGCAGATTCATTCATTCCTCCCTTTGATGGGGGATGCAGAAAATACCACACACCCCCTCACCCAAACCAATGGAGATGTAGCTCCTCCACTGGAAATTTGGGAAGAGCTGGTGCTAGGGATATGCTACCATATTCTAGACAGTAAAATCTCTTTTTCTTTGCTCTAGTGGGAAAAAACTTTGAAGTGTGGAGGCTTTGCGAGGGCAACTTTCCTAATAATAATTTTGCTCAAGTTTTAAAAAAAATTGTGAATAAATTTTGGGTTTTTTCTGCCAGCTAGTGTAATATGATGGATGTAATATTTTTATAAAGTTTCTTTGTGCTATGGTTAAAACTTATTAAATTTTGGAAAATATGAATTGCAAAGGGGAATGAAATGAGAACATATTTGTCCATTTGAATTTCCAAACTCAAAGTTTTGCTAAGATGCAGGAATAAAAGGTAAATCATTGAATCCTGGACCATCAAGAAATTTATTCTACCCATGGTAAAAAGCAAAAAAGAGGGGAGAAAAAGAAAATATGACCAAAGTTGTGGCCATATTGCAACTTTGCTGGAAAAAGTTGACTAAAAAGGAGGAAAAATGTGTGTTGCAACCATGAGTATCCTATGCCAAACCTCAGCGGAGGTCACTGGAATGAGCCAGCAAGCCAAGCCTAAATAAAAATAGGACCTGTGGGATTCCCCACCTGATTTTCAAATAGTCACTGCTACACTATCATTTGTCAAGTTTGCAGGATAGTTTTTTACCAGATGTGAGAAACACAGTACCAAATCCAGGCTGAAGCAAGAGAGAAGAGTGTATCCTTCCCCAGGGGAATAATCTGCTCAGGAAGGACTGCGAAGTCCGAGACTGGACTGAAACCTCCCAGGTCCCCATGTGCTGTGAAATGTGTTTTCATAATTTTACAATTTGTCACCAAAAGCAAGGTGTTCAAAGGACCTGTTTTACTGTATAAAGGAGGGTTAAACTGCATTTTTTTCAGAAAAGGGAAATGCCAATTTATCATATCACGAACAATTTTATTATCAGTTTAGATGTTTGCATTAAGAACCATCTAAGAGTGGTACTTTTATTTGTGTTATTCAAAGTGCATCAAATGTTTCTCACTCTCTTCCAAATGTTAATTAACACCAGATATTAACGTGCAAACTGCTGCTCACTTTCAGCTGAATGAGAAACCTTCTTAGCACACTTTGTTTGCCTTATAAAATTTCACTTGGGCTCCTTGAGGATGGAAATATTATTGTTTACATTTGTATAAGCAAGCTGGACAGGGAAAACCCAGAGCAAGAACCTCTGCAACATGAACATAAGACACATCATTTGCAACTGTCTCTCAACCTGGTTCCTTGCTGGGTTTTGATTTGTGTTGGAGACTAGGCATGAACACTATCCCACAACCAAACAAGTTTTTATACCATCAAGTGCTTAGCGTGACTGGTGCTTATTATTTTTAACTGTAGAACAATTCAAAGTGTCTATGTGACTTAGGAACACAAATTTATTTGAAAACCAGTGGATATTTTTGATACCTTTGTCTTGCTTTGTTAAGCAGCGCTGGTGCTGATTTTTTTGGTGAAATCTGAGCATGAACTTCACTCAATCCCAGATCCTCACAGACATCTTCCCAGGTTCCATATCCCAGTGTTTGTAATGGAAGTTAATACCTGGATGCCGTCATGGAAAACCATCCATGAGTCACATGGATCAGAGCAATGCCAATATAGCTTTAAAATGTTTTGTTAATGTTCCTCTCAATTATGATTAGTGTCAAGCTCTTAGGACTGGGCAGTTTTGGCCACCACAATAAGAAAGACCTAAAGCTCTTTGAGAGTGTCCAAAGGAGGGGCACAAGGATGGTGAAGGATCTGGAAGGGCATATGAGGAGTGGCTGAGGGCACTTGGTCTGTTCAGCTGGAGAAAAGGGGATTAGGGAGCACTTCATGGCAGTCTGCAGCTTCCTCCCAAGGGCAACTCCGATCTCTGCTCTCTGGGACCAGCGACAGGACCCAGGGAATGGCTGCAGCTGGGCCAGGGCAGGGTCACACTGGATAGCACGGAAAGGTTCTTCCCCCAGATGCTGTGGGGCACTGCCCAGGCTCCCCAGGGAATGGTCACGGCCCCAAGGCTGCCAGAGCTCCGGGAGCGTTTGGACAACGCTCTCAGGGATGCACAGGGTGGGACTGTCGGGGTGTCTGTGCAGGGCCAGGGCTTGGCCTGGATGATCCTTGTGGGTCCCTCCCAACTCAGGACATGCCCCAATTCTGTGAATCTGCTGTTTACCTCCCAGTAAGAGCCCAGTGCTGGGTCCAGGCTCTGTGTGGGAACCCCTTCTGAGCCCAAGGCTGGGCTTTCTGAATTTCCCAATGAGCACCAGCTCTCCCCCTGCAACCACAACTGCCCCTCCTGTTTAGCAAGATGGGTGTGCCATGTCACCTGTACCAGCATCTCCCCCTGCAACCACAACTGCCCCTCCTGTTTATGTGGGAGTGCCATGTCACCTGTACCAGCACGGACTTGCACACCAGCCACAGTCTTACTGGGCTTTTGGATCCTCCCCCAGTAAAAATACTCATTTGCAATTCACCCTGTCAGCAGAGTGGCCAGGAACCACTCCTGTGTTCTGTGGTTCTGCCTCTGCTGCAGCCACCGAGGCAGAGCCCCAGCAGCTGCACTCCAGGGCACTCACACATGGGGGCAAGGCTGCATGTGCACAGGTGGGGCTGGCAGCACATGTCATTAGGGTAGTTACTGGGCTCATCTGCAAATGTCTACCTTTGCTTTAGTGTTTTGCCAAATGTAGTAAAAATTTTTACACTGGGTAACTGGTTTCAGGCATAAGGAGGTCTGCTCATGTTTAAAAACCCAACAAAGGCATAAGGTACCTTGAAAAGGTAGAAGAGGCAGAACACTTCACACACCCACACAGTGGAGATCCAAAGTTCAGTGGTGACTTCAGTGTCACAGAGCTGCTTAATGTCTTCTCTGTGCCTTCTCTCAAAACACCATGCACTTTCTCCAGGGCACAGGAGGGAAGCTAATAACTGAAACCCCAGCCTCAGAGAAAATCCCATACCCACCAACTTTTACCTGGCCTGTTATAAGCAAATGTGCAAACTTTGTTCCAGTAAGATGCATTAAGCTTCTGTTTGTCAGTGAATACTTGCTGGCACAATTAATCAAAGAGAGATGTTTAAGTGGACACACACAATATAGAAGTGCATGCCATGACACACATTTCTCATGTGATATTGTGAGCTCTTTCCTCACACCCGATGTGTGCAACAAACAGCACAGACACCTCAAGAAGTGGTAATGCTGACTGGAGTTTTAAAAATAAACTGTTGTTCTTCCCTTGTGATTCCAGCAGGCCAAGCTGCTGCTTACATTTGGATACAAACATTTTCAGTCTGCAGTTCTAGGAAATACTCAGGGCCCCTGAGTTGTGCTTTCACGTTTCTGGTGGAGTGTCATTAGCTGTAATGCCAGCCACTGCTAAGGACAGCCCTGATTATCTGCAGGCTCACAAGCTGCCAAGTACAGGCACATGGTTTTGCATTTACAGTTGATCCTGGAGAGGAGAACACTATGGATATTTTTGGCCCTTTATTTTAATGGCACTGCCAGAATGACTTGAATCTGAAAACTCACAGCTCATTACCAAGAGCAAAATGCTGACCCAGGCAGAGCCAGAAGATTTGAAAACTACTTCAGAGTTGAGCAGGCTGCTGTAGAACGTGGACAGCGTTTTTTCCTCTGTTAACCCCACTGTCCCAGAGAGAACATTCCCTCTGTATTTACAGCATGCAAGACTGTGCTATCCAGCCTGTTCTGCATCCTGGAGAGCAGCAGGATGCTTTAGGCTTCACACAAAGCAATCACTGCCCCAGCTTGTCTCACGTTCACACTGCAAGAAAGAGCTCAGGACCTGCAGTGCTGCATTAAAAGATGCACAGCCAGAAAAATGGAGAAGATTAAAACCAGCAACAGTATTGCCTGTTCTCTTGTGGCTGTTTCAGACATGTACCAACTTTTCCTCCTGTACCAACAGCCTTTATCTGCCTCTATGAACCCAAGTCAAGAAGCCTTCCAAAGCTTTGGTAAAGGTGTGAACAAAAGGCCCTGTTTTGAGGTGTTGAATGACCTCAAATACCACCTGACTCCAGATAAAGTGTGGTATTTTTGGACCAGAGAGGCAATAAAATACCCACTTTAGCTTCTGACTGTACCATGAGTTATTCCATTTGCTTTCAGTGTGCATGTCACAGCTCTCCCAGCTACAGAGAGGAGGGAAAAGCTTCTCAGGAAAGCAAGCTGGCCTTTGTGTAGCACGGCAGACAGAAACACAGGATTACACCTACCTTCAGTTCTGACTCCAGTCTGCAGTAAGAGGCTGCTGCACAATCAAAGTACACACTAATGGTTATACAAAACCAGAGTGACACTCTGGTCTCAAGGTAACTTTAAGGTTTACAGGACTCCTGTTTTTGGGTGTACTTTGCATGTGGGAGAATGATTGCTATGTCTACAACCAAATTCAGCACCTTGTTGTTACAGTCCCTTTCTTCCACCGATTTTTCTTGTAAGACTCTAGAGTTCATATTCTGAAAATATCTTTAATGACCAAACATTTTTTGTCCACAGTTTTTCAGATGCAATTTGAACTTTTTAGACAGCAGAGAATTCTTTTGGGGCACTAAACATTAAATGAGCCTGTTATGAGAGAAACTGAGGGACTAAACAGATGTCTGGTTTTGGTTTTTTAATTCTCACTCTTGATTTTCATTGTTACAGCTTTTCCCTTGCCATGTAAACCTTACCTGCTGAAGAATGTTGTGTGATTTAACCCAGAACTCTTTGTAAAACACTGCAAGATTCCTGAGGGAGAGGTAAGGTTGAACTAAACCAGGGTACTGCGAGTAAAATTTGTTGCACTCAAACTTAGATGTCAAGGAAATACAAACTTCCTCAATGCAAGTTTGCAGCATTTTTATAGTGGGGGAATAATTTCCCCCAGTAACTTCATCCCACTCAAATGAACCAAAAATGAAACAGATCAAGAGCAGGCAAACTTTGAAATAAATAAAACTTCTTTAATTAATTTTTTCATGATAAAGACTTTAAAAAAGGTAATTATTTTGCAGGCAGTTATAAAAAATCTACACTTAAAATCTAAATTTAGAGCTATTAGGGACAGGATAGCAACAATTGTATCTAGACTTACTTTGCAGGTCTCAGAAGTATATCTCAGGAGTGTATTTTAGCTCTTGTTTCTCTGTGAATTAAGACACTGAGGTTGTTATGCTGCCTATCAGGGAAGGCAGTAGGTTGTATAGTTATCTCCTGATTGGGGCAAAATCACTACCCTGAAACCACACAACCTACTACCTCATCCTGTTAGAGCATCACGTGCATCTTCTGGAGGAAACATTTCACCATTTGTAAGTAAATTACCTCATCACTCTCCAGCCCACACATTTCTTAGCCTAAGAAAGGCCACGTGGGACCTCAGCCCTTCCCCACAACTCTGCCTGGGAGTCAGAACTGGTGCAGGGACTGCAGAGACAGGAGAACTGCAGTGACAAACACTGTCCCTCCCAAACTAGAAATATGTAATAAAAAAGCAAGTTGAATCAGTGCCCCAAACTGACTGAAGAGACCTCTTCCTTAGGGTTCAAGAATTTACCATTTCCAGGGCAGAACACGACCGAGTGGGAAGACATCCTCCCAGGGTTTTGTCCAGCTCATCCCTTTGGAGTTTCTCAAACAGCCTCCACCAAGTGGATTTAAACAGCTGCTGAATGAAAAGTACCATTTTATGTTTAATATGAACACAGATGCCAGAAAACAAGGGAGAGTTGGATCAGCTGTTTGCAAGATGCCACTCCCATGGCAGTGCCAGACAGCTGTGCCTGAGCACATCCACTGTGGACTGGGCTGTACCTCTGTGTCCTGGCACTCACACCCCACCTGCTCCCCAAAAATGCCAGAAGGAAATTACTTTTGAGCCTGAATGGGAAATACAGAAATCTAAACACTCTGAGGACATTTGTGTACAAGAACCAAACATGGAGACAGAGCCAGAGAATGGTACAGTTGAAAAACATCTGTGTTGTCTTTTGGAGACATCCAGCGCTGACATCACAGCCACTTCAGGAAAGACAGTAGATTGTATAGTTATCTGACAGGCAGGGCATAGCCCTAAAACTATACAACCTACTACCTCACCCCAAAGGACAGTCACATTCTGATCACAGGAAGCACAGGCTGCATGCCCAGACAGCTGGATTGCTTAGTGACAACCTAGAAGACAAAAAACTCTGGAGACAAATGTTAGCAGTCTTGAATTTGAAACATTTTGCTATATACCAGTCAACGTTCTGCTTAATGAGCTCCAGTTCCACGTTTGAAATGTTTAATAGATTTGCAACTTGTGAAGTCATGTCAGTGACAAGATACACAAGGGAAACAGGATACAGCATTCATTTTTAATAACTGCACTTGTGTACTTCCAGCTCCTACATGACTGTACCTTATCAAACCAGCTTGTCACTTTGGGAAAGGCATCACTGTGACTTAGAATGGATGCTGACTTAGAGGGATTGTTTAATTTGCTTCCAGATACTTCTTCATTATCCTAATGGGGAAGAGCTGAGGTTCTCTAAGTGAATTTCCCAAGTTCTGCATAGGTAAACCCCAAAGACTGAGCAATGAATTTGTCAAGACAGAGAAACTGAAGTCTACTCAGCAATACTCCTAACAGAGCAGTAACCCAGCTCTGAATTGATGACCAAATAAACACACCCCACTGTACCACACAGACCTTGGTTAGGGGGATTAGCAGAACTGCCCCTACAGCATCAGCTTCTGTAGCCTCAAACTTATGCTGTGTTTGAGGGGGTTTTTATTCCCTGCCACCTGGTTTGATAGACAACAGCACTTCCTATTCAGGGCAGATATAAAGTGGGAATAACTGAGATATCAGTCTGTATTCTACTATAAACACTGCTTTCATAAATAAACAAACTTTTAAAACAAACACCCTACCTTAATCAGTGAACTAACCTTTTGCTAGTTAATTAAAGAGCACAATAAATGCTGCATCCATCAGCCCCACACAGATCAAGGAGAGTTGTTTCACTCAGCAAGTCTCACCCTGAGGTCACTTGGTCACACTGCAGGGAGATAGAAGCCATCTGCCCTGGCTTTCAGCATCACTGCTGTGGGGATCTGAAAAGAGAGGAGCAAGACAAAACACACAAATCTGAATTGCATGTCACTGCACACTGAAACAATTACAAGGTGGGTGAGAGCATGTGCAAAGCAGACGGAAGCTTCTTTCTCCAGGAGAACCACGCACAGCACCAGCTTTCCCATTCACCTGGTACTACCACAAGTACACCCAGGGGACCCCACTCAAAGAGACAGGCAAGAGGAAAGTATAGTAAAAAAAGAGTAATTTTTTATTAGATTGACTTGAATATCAGGAGCATTGCAGAGACAGGCAGAGAGAGGTATCAGGTACTTCACCTCCAAGGAACAAACACTTTTACACAAAGCAGAGAAGGAAGGAGAATGCAGATACCTGATCAAATTGGATCTCAATGTGTTAATCTATAAAGGACAATGTTATGGCATCAATGTCAAAGATCATTTCACTGTAGTGGGCTGAGACCACGTAGAAAGAGGTCATTGGCTGACATGGTGCCATTTGTTGGACATAACAGGACAGGTGCAACTCTGACCATGCTGAGATCACTGCAAGGAAGGAAACACTGTCCAGCCCTGCATTTCACCTCTTGGAACCTCCAAGTCCTTGCAGGCCAAAAAGGGTGATGCTCTTTCAATACCACACCGAAGGAATACCTTGAGAGACTTCAACATTTCATCAATGCAAAACACCCTCCAAACTGGTATCTTAACTTCTATAAAGAACCCCTTTGGAAAGCTCTCCAGCAGAAAGCCTGATAGTCTTCTCTATGTACTTAAGAGTTTTAAATCTCAGAATTTTCTGAGTACCAGCTTTTTGGCATTGTCACTTGCTTTCCCAATAATCCTCTGAAAAAAAACCCCTGCCCTGTACCTCTGTTTTTTAGATAAGATATTTAAAAAGAAACAAGTTCTTTATGCATGCAATTGGAGATCTCAATATTTTTCCTCAGAGCTGAGGTGGTGAAGTGGAGCTAAACTTCTGTGCAGTTTCAGCAAGGCTGGATGTGTTGCACAGTCACCTCTCAGAAAGTGTTTTCTGTGTAACAGAAACCCTGTGCTTTTATCAATAGAACAGTGTTACATAATATAATTGGAGGAAAGCTGAGTATTGTGTGACTTCAAAGTGTGACTTTTTGTAAGCATCTACTTCATAGTGGAGGGATAAAAACAACGTAGCCTTTCAGAACAGCAACTCTTTATGCTGGATGGTCCAGTGGAACCAGTTCCAAGAACCAGTCTGGCTCTAAAAGGATATTCACAGTAGTGAAAAACCCAAATTATCCCACAGACCCATCCAACTCCAATGACAGGGAATTTTGGATGAAGAACTTTCACTTACAGCTGGTCTCAGTGACTCTACAAGACAGAAATATAGATTGAAAGAAAAGCAACATTCTGGAGTACGTTCTAGGGATTCACACTGCCTGTCTTTAATATATCTGCACCTCACATTTTTGGGGGCAATACTAGGTGGATACTGGAAAATGTTCATCCCTGTTGAAAAATGGTGAACTTGAATTAACCATTTCTAAAGGATGCTCTTATTTTCTATGATATCTTAGAGATTCTTTTCTCTAGGTGCTGTGCTGATATAATGTTGCCTTAAGGTATATTTCACCAAAAAAGCAGTAGTTTTTAAATTCATAATGATGTTGAGATAATTACTTGTAAAGTACCATAAACTCTGTGCAACACTATTTTCTATAAGATCTGTTAATATGGGTATTAGTAATACTCATTAGCAAACAAAAATTGAAAAGAATGTGCTTTATCCAACACCTAAAATTAATTAGTCTTCTGCTTTCACAAGCTGCCCATAAACTTATTTTAATTGACTAGATCACCAAACAAGGATGAACTTTAAAATACTTAATGAAAGAAAAATGCATGTTCCTTTTCCTTCCACGAAGATGACAGGCACAAGAAATAGCTATCTGGCAAGAGTTATGTTTCTAGTTTAACAATTGTTTAATACTAGGAAAAATATGACATTTCCATATTCCAACTCTTCACTGAAAAACGTTTTGGAACTGATGTTAATAAGTACCTCAGCAGTCACTTTTCAAAAGGCAGGGGGCCAAGTCTGCTATTTCTGTGATGTTACAGGAAAGCAGACAGTTTCAAAGCAGGGTTGTTATACCACTAAAAGCCTTACTAATGAACAGGCTGGGACAGCACAGAACAAGCATTCTCCAATTTCAAGGTACTTTCCCCCCAAAACCTTGTGAGGATTTACCAAGGCTAAGCCTCCCTGGCTCCCAGGAAGAAGGAAATGCCCTGGCTGTGTGCTCTTGGAGTGCACTGTGATTATCAGGGGAGGGCTTGGAGACAGGGACTGGGGTCTGGATGCAGGCCAGACCAGCAGCTTCCAATCTCTCAGCATGAAAAGATGACCTTCTGGCTTCCCAAGAGAAGCACAGTCCCCACTCTGCTCCTGCAGACTGTTTATTCACAATTAGAAATGTCATCAACATGTTTGGGAAGAGCACTGTGGGGAAAATGGCTGAGGATATGCCAAGGTGGGCACTGCAGCTGAGGGAAGCCTCCTGACCAAACTCAGCAGGGCTTGGATCAGACAGAACTTGCTCCTCCATGCCCCTTCTTCTGGGGCAGGATTGTGGCAAAGCAGTATTAACTTTCCTAGAGATTTCAGGTAGAGATTACTTAGACAAGAGAAGGATTCAGTTCCCTTGGATTTATGTACGATAAACTCCACACAGTGTAGTTTAAAATATATTTTAAACTAAATATAACAAAAATGACACAACTGCCTTCATATAGCATGCAAACTTCAAGAAGAAAAAACACTGATGTGACTCCTGTGAAATACAACATGTACTGCAATCTCACTCATTACTTAAACACAGTTGCTTCTAAAATGGCAAACAACAGTTGTGAAACTTTCCTGTAATTTAACAATACAGGCCATATTCTGCCAGAACTTCAGGCAGGTACAATGGGAAAAACTCACAGGACCAGAGCTCCACAGCCTCCTCCATTCAGAGGAGATGCACAGGATTTTCTAAGGTTCAGTTCAGGAGGGCTCCTCCTCTGCACAAGTGTCTGTCTGTCTGTCAGAGCATCAGCTGTGTCCAGCAGCTTGCTCACACCTTCACCTGGGCATTAGAGAGGCCAGGCTGTAACGAGGGGAGCAAATTTCTCACTCCACCCATTGTGATAAAGCACCAAAGGGGGATGAAGGTTTGCTCACCCACAGGTTCCTCAGTGCTGGAGCAGCCATGTGTGCTGTCCTGCTTTGGACAAACCACAGGCACAGTTTTGCAGGGAAGCATTTTCCTCAGATTCATTAGGGATGCTTTTTTTAAGAAGGGGAGTATTCACACACTATTGAGATCAACAGGACACCCTCACTTGGCCTCAGTGGCTTTGAAGGAGGCCCTGATTATCCAATACAGCACAAATTATGAGACACAGAAGCTCAAAATGACACTTTTGGACATGTAGCAAGCTTACACATCAAAAAGTATTTAGGGGCCAATGACTATTTTCATTATCTATTAAAATCGGTTATAGAAATTTTGTTCACCCTTTCTTTATTACACAGAACATCAGAGGCAGTGCATCATGGCTCTTTATAATAAACAGTTTTATGTATTCAGTGAACCCATTGTCATTATCGAATTGTTTGCAAGTATTTGAGAAAAAGGAGTCTCTGAAATGAGTCAGAACTCTCTGGCTAAATGTCTCTGAGCTCTGCAGTAATTTTTTTATGTTTCTGAAGTCTGAATGTTTCATGTATGGGGGAAAAAAAAAGGCAACAGAATGTAACAAGATTTAAATACATCAGCTGAAATAAGTCCATCTCCCATACTGTAGCCTGACTACCAGCCAGACCTGCACAGGAGCTTCCTCACTTGTGTGGAATGAAGCTAGAGTCAAGGAAATTCCTCCACAGAAATGACCTTCCAGGAAAGTGTCACAATGGTTATCAGAAAATGGGAAGTGCTTCATGTCAGCTGCTCTAACTCCTTGATTGGGTGTAGGGAGGTGGGACAAGCAGCAGATCCAAGGTGTTCTGCATCACCACAGACTTGTTCTACAGGTGTTATGTTAGCATTTCATACACCTTGTGTTCTGTGAAATGCCTGGAATGTTAAACATGCATAATGGTATAGACCATTTTCCACCAAAATACACCTCCTTTTGCTTGGAGGTGTGATCATGTCTCCTGCTTAGGAGAACTGCAGTACCTACACTGACAAAATATTTGTTTTTCTATCACATTTATCTCTGCATTTTGCTTATGTACTAGTCTGAATGCTAAAAAGCCCCAAAAGCTGGTATTCCAGAGAATGATGAAACACTTGATGTCTCAAAGCCTCCACAAATACAGAAATTAAACCAGGGCTAAGCACTGGCAGCTCTGTATGTTGCACTTGTGATCTTATGCAAATAAACATTTAAGAAGATCTATTTTCTGAAAAATAAGCTGTGAAAGACACAACAGAACTGTTCAGTGCATTACAAGCTATTAGTTTTGTAGGACTTAAAGCTCAATCTCCTGTTTTCCTGGCACAATCTTTCCATCTCCTGGCTTCCCAGCTGAGCTGCTGTGCTTGCCCCCACTGCATCCCTGAGCTCTCCATGGCAGAGATGAGGACCCCCAGATCCTAATGCCCAGAATCAGGGCAAGTCCAGAGTCCAGGGGAGGTGAAACCTGTGTGGAAATGGCAAATCCATCAGGTAAGTGAGATACACCTTATGAAAAACAAATTTTACAGGTACTCTTGCTACCTTACTACGTGTAAAAGCAAAAGTGCAAGGGCTGAATTATCTGGGAAATGAACCCAGCAAGAGGAGAAGAAGCTGTGACAAATTAGGGACTGGTTTTTATTAGGAAAGGAACAAAGAGAATGTGTCAGGTTTATTTTCTCTTGGCAGATGGAGATAGCAAGAGTAAAAGGGGCATAGAACACCTCTCTTACAGTATTTCCTAAACATTCCTCAGTTATCTCCACACTCCTTGGAGGACTGTATTCATGCAGATCACATAAAAA